GAGAGAGAGAGAGAGAGAGAGACTCGAGTGAGTGAAGAATAATGCACAGTGCATGTTGACCGTATTTATGTGAATACACACCAGTGCAGGCATTTTGACACTCCGTGTTTTGACTGTTTTAGGACCTCGCGCGCCAAAAACATGCAGTCAGAAGCGGATTAAGTTCCATTTCGCGGCTTTAAGTTTTTAATACTGTCTGCCTTCAAGAATGTCCCGCTCTTTACTGTCTCATTCATTCACGTTCCTTTATTAATAACGCTAACAGTCCCACCCGCTGAAAGCTGCGCGGAAAAAGTCAAAGTAACCAGCTAAATGTTTCATACTGGCTCTTGGCATAGGAGAACACCATCTTCTATAAAACAAAGTATATGTTTCAGTCCTGTCACTTTTTTTTTTTACATACTTTTACACTTTTTCTGCTGTCAAAAAAAAACTTTCTTTTCTCTATTACCACAAACAAGCTACGTAGCAGCTTGAATCTGAGTTTATTAGCTCTATGTTATCAGTTCGCTGTTGTGACTCTCGCGAACAGCACTGAACGCGCACTTTTCGGTACAAAAAAATGTATTATTATTTTAAACCTTTTATCAGCTTATGTAGTCTCTACAACCAATGAATTGCTAATCTCTAGTGATGTATAATTTTTGTAATAGATCATTTGTTGGTAAAGGGTGAGAGATCTGGCGAGCCACATGATTTTTGTCAAAGAGTCAGGTGTGGCTCCCGACCCCTGGTCTATAGTGTGGAACGCAGCACTAAGATCAAGTAAAACTAGCAATGAGACACAGCCTTGGTCTGACGCAAGAAGCAAGTCATTTGTAATTTTAACAAGTGCAGTTTCTGTGCTATGGTGGGGCCTGAAACCTGACTGAAATTCTTCATAGAGATCATTTTTTTGCAGGAAGGAGCACAATTGAGCAGACACAACTTTTTCTAAAATTTTAGACATAAAAGGAAGATTTGAGATGGGTCTGTAATTTGCCAGTTCACTAGGATCTAGTTGTGGTTTCTTAATAAGAGGCTTAATGACCGCCAGCTTGAATGTTTTTGGGACGTGACCTAAAGACAACGACGAGTTAATAATATTGAGAAGCGGTTCTTCTGCTACAGGTAACAACTCTTGCAGTAATTTAGTGGGTACTTCGTATATATATACACACACACACACACACTCACAAATATACACATAGATAAGCTTTAATATATCCAACTTTTAAAATGCATAGACATATATTTTCTTTCTGCTGCCAAACTTGCTGCAGCAGAAGTTTATTCCTGCCTTGTAAATGCATTTAAATGTATTACATTTTTAATAACGACATCTCTTAATCTTCAGCAGAAACGTGAATTGCGCTGACTCTCGCGAGAAGTGCATCCAAATGACGCTTTGCTGATGCTCTCCACACGTTCTGTGTGATTGGCTGTTTGCTGCACGTGCCACACTTTCAGGTGCACGCGCTCCAGAGTCAATCACAAACTCTGGTTCAAACTCTGAGTTGGGGGAGTAGGTTTATATCGAGCTTTGTGAGCCCAGTGAACATGATCTTAACCAGGTTGGCTTTATAGGGTTTTGTCAACTCAAAACTTACTCTGCAATAGGGCTGTAGCTATCGATTATTTTAGTAATCGCATATTCTACAGATTATTCCATCAAGTAATCGGATAAAAAGTAATTTTTCTTTATTAAAGAGCAATACTAAATATACAAGAGATAATAAGATAGATCTCTTAAAATAAACAACTAATTTGTTTTCTTTTTAGAAAAATTAAAATTTTTATTGCTGAAATTGCACAGATTAAAAACCGTGAAAACGAAACCCATTTAATGCATTTAATTGCCAAATTACATTCTAAATACAAATATATCAATAAAAAAATAAAAATACAAAAATCAATTTCACATTACTTTAAAAAAGGTAAACAGTACAAACTAAAACTAAGGCATAAATCTAAATAATAGTCATAAAAATAATAATAATACCTAAACATTGCATTTATGTCGTGCAACTTAACTTTCAAGTTTCAGCCTAACTAAAGCTCAAGCATAAAATAAGCCTTTACTGTCTTCTTGGAAGGCTTTGTGAGAGGCAAAAATCAGTGGACAGGAAGGTAACTTGGAACAAGTACAAAAGACCATACACAATTTTTAAACACATTTTTCTACAACATGAAATGAGTGTTATTTGCAGAATAAACCCTCTTAAATGTCCCTTTATGTACTGGTGTGTGTGTGTGTGTGTGTGTGTAAAACTTGTTTTTGATATCCTTCATATTCTGTGTGTGGGTCAGTTCAAAGCAGTGATAGAAATTAAGCTGTCCCAATAAGTTTAAATTGATTTTTACATTTTCTGGGCATTTTTACCTTTATAAAGCCTTTGTACATCATCTTTTGAGTCAGATTCTTACATTTAATCAGTCAATTAGAATAAGACATTTTGGGTTGTGCGTCAGTAATAATGGTCCGTGAGGAAACACGGTGTTCCATGTGTAGTTACAGTAAATGGACTAAACGAAGCCTCGATGTAAAAAATAGTTTGCCTCGATGATTTTTGGTGTTCGAGGAATCGTTTCAGCCCTACTCTGCAACTCTGAGTTTGTTCATCTCGCTTCGTGCAACAGGCCACTGGGCATTATTGGTATTTTGGTTACACAATAAATTGTATTTAATTTAATTTCCATTTAATTCATAGTAAAGTATTGTAGTTTCTGGCTGGGATGCTGGAAAAGTCAAAGAACATTATTTGTCACATATTATTCAATATATAGATTTGACCAGTATCAGTAAAATCTGTGTCCCATTCACTGAGAGAGATACTATAAGATAAAGCAAGGACAACTCTAACATTTAAATGCTGACATTTAGCATAATTTACAGTGCATGGTACGAGTATCTAATTAAATGTAATAGTAGCCTACGTTATTAAAATAAATTTCAATAAATAAAAATATTGTTAAAAATCACATTATTTGTTATTTGTCACATCTAGTAGACCATTTTTGTGGGTAATAGGAGGATTTTCCACCCGGCTACCACCGCAAGTATGTTTCAAACCTGTGGGAAGCACTGGGGTGCGAGTTAATTAAATGTGACCCATTAACCTCCTGTCTGTAAGCAGACTCGTCTCCGTCCTTGATGAGGCAGATGACTGTAGTGTCGTCCGCAAACTTCAGGAGCTTGAAAGATGGGTCCTTTGAAGTGCAGTCATTGGTGTACAGGGAGAAGAGCAGTGGGGAGAGTACACAACCCTGAGGGGCACCAGTGCTGATGGTGATAGTGATGGATGTGAGTTTGCCCAGCCTCACTATCTGAAACTGCTAAACCTCTTGCCCCTCTGAGGAACACTACAGTTTCTTTCCAGAATGAGTTTGCAAATGACGATTTAGATCTCTTTGATACATGAAAATCTTCTCACACTGAAGACATGTAAAAGGCTTCTCTCCCGTGTGAATTCTCATGTGAACACCAAGGAATGTTTTGTTTGTGCAAGTCTTTCCACAGTGATGGCACATGAAAGGCTTCTCTCCGATGTGAATTTGTACATGATTCTTGAGAAGTTTCCTGCCCGTGAAGCTCATTCCACACTGATGACATAAAAACCAGTTCTCTCTCAGGTGAACCCTCACGTGGTTATAAAGGGATATTTTAGATCTGAAACTCTTTCCACACTGATCACAGGTGAAGGACTTCTCTCCAGTGTGAGTTCTCATGTGGGCATTAAGGGTTGGTTTGTGTGTAAAACTCTGTCCACACTGAGGGCAGGTACAAGGCCTCTCTCCAGTGTGAGTTCTCATGTGGCTTTTAAGGCTTCCTTTTTGAATGAAACTTTTTCCACATTCTTGGCAGGTGTAGAGGTTCTCTCTAGTGTGAATTCTCATGTGAACATTAAGGTTTCCTTTTCGGATGAAACTTATTCCACACAGTTTGCAGGTGTATGGCTTCTCTCCCGAGTGAATTCTAATGTGAGCATTAAGGGTTGGCTTATGTGTAAAACTCTGTTCACACTGAAGGCATTTAAAAGGCTTCTGTCCACTGTGAGTTCTCATGTGGCTCTCAAGGCTTCCTTTTTGAGTGAAACTTTTACCACACTGTTGGCAGGTGTAAGGCTTCTCTCCAGTGTGAATTCGCTTGTGGATTTTAAGGCTTCCTTTTGTAGTGAAACTTATTCCACACTGTTGGCAGGTGAAATGTTTATCTGCAGTGTGAGTTCTCATGTGAACTTCAAGGCTTCCTTGTTGATCAAAACTCTTTCCACACTGAAAGCAGGTGAAATTATGTGTCTTTGAGCAATTAAAAGATTTTTCAACAGTTATGAAATCATGATATTTCTCTTCCAATTCATTCAATTCTTGACTCTCTTCTTTCAGCGCCATCAGGTCTAAGGTGAAAAAGATAAATACAAGTTAACACCAGTTTAATCGCACAAATCAATGGACACAAACATTTACCATAAAAAAAGGGCTTGACCCGGAAAACGGGTTAATTATTGACATATGTAAAACCTACTATTTTGTTGGCGCCAATAGCCTCATGGGCAACACGCCGACATATGGCACGGTTGCGTCCTGAGTTTGAGTCCTGGCTCGTAGAGTTTTCCCGATCCCATACCCCCCTCTCTCGCTCTCCAAATTAGTTTCCTGTCAAGCTACAGTTTTATCTCCTAAAATAAATCTTTTAAAAATATCTGCTATTTATGTCTAAATTATAACAAAGATAGCGTCCTTTCCACTAAGAAAGTGTCCTTTTAGTTTTGCAGCGTAACCATTAAGTTTTCAGTATTTATTGCTGTAATATCTTGCAGCAACATAGACCACAACATTCTCGTGGATAGCTTGAGAATTATGTTTGCATTTGTGGACAATCATCAGTACAGTTTAAATCCTATTTATCTGACCGCTACCACTTGTGTTCAATGAGGCGTCTCACACAAAGAAAGGATGAAGTGCCACAGGGCTCAGTATTAGGTCCTCTGACTTTCTTCTTGTGTAAGCTTCTCCTGAGGGACATTATTATTAGATTTCACTATGGTATGCAGATGATACTTTTAAATGTCCTCACAACCTGACAAAATGGCACAACTGCAGTTAGCAGAGTGTATTAATGGGATGGACTAAAGATACACCTTCTCAACCCAGCATACCTGTAAAAAAAATTATTTAAATCAGTTATGGTGCATTAGTCAGACCTCTTTTAACTAAAACTATATTAAGGCAATATTCAAAACCTGCCAGATCACCCAGTATGTTTGCATTTGTGGACAATCATCAGTACAGTTTAAATCCTATTTATCCGACCGCTACCACTTGTGTTCAATGAGGCGTCTCACACAAAGAAAGGATGAAGTGCCACAGGGCTCAGTATTAGGTCCTCTGACTTTCTTCTTGTGTAAGCTTCTCCTGAGGGACATTATTATTAGATTTCACTATGGTATGCAGATGATACTTTAAATGTCCTCACAACCTGACAAAATGGCACAACTGCAGTTAGCAGAGTGTATTAATGGGATGGACTAAAGATACACCTTCTCAACCCAGCATACCTGTAAAAAAAATTATTTAAATCAGTTATGGTGCATTAGTCAGACCTCTTTTAACTAAAACTATATTAAGGCAATATTCAAAACCTGCCAGATCACCCACATGAGACTCATTAAGATCGTGTATGATTTTCACAGCTATGAATATTTACGTCAGTGTTTCTAGCAGCTGTTAGATTTCCTAGAAAGTCTGTGCTGATCAACGTGTGCAAATGTCAAAGTTGCCGTTTTATATGGATATTGGGACATGAGTGAAGCACAAAGCTTTGTTTACTGAAGAAATAATAGGTTAGCAACCAAATGTTACATTCAGAATATATATTTAGGGATTAAAGTGTGTACCGCTGAAACCTTAACTCGGGACGCCCAAAGTACAGCGGCGCTACATGTCGCTGCCCATGAGGCTATTGGTACAGTCTATATTTTTTTACTTTTAACAGTAAGAGGGAGTGATTTCTTTTTAAAGTCAGCTCAAAGCCTATATTAGTTATTTTAAATTTCTATATTAAAAAAAGTTACATTTACACATTAAACTCACAGCATTATGTATGTAATTGTAACTGATGTGTAAATGCATTTATGTCATTTAAAGGACCATCAGGCAGTAAATGATGGAAACAGGAGTTGTTGGTGGAACTGGAGCCACAGAAAGACCAACCTGTTTGTTCCTCAGTATCTTCATGTTTGACTCTGAATGCTTCTTCAATCTTCACGTCTTCACTCTCCTCTTTAATAAACTCCATCTTTATAATAGTGTCTCTCAGTTGCTTCAGCAGGAGTTTTTCCTGTGTGTTTAAGATCAGAATAATTAACGGAAAGAAAAATTTATTAAATATTGTAGTTCAAACTCAGTCACAATATTTCGATTTTACCCAGTACAGACGTTAAAGTTGTTGTTAATGAAAATAACTTTATTGTACATCTGCATCGCAAGCTATACTGGTGTTGTCAATTCAAATGTCTTTGAATTATGCATATGTGCATTCCCAAGAAACAAAACATGCAAAACCAATAATTAATACGATTAATTATTGTTATTTGTGGTGCTACAACTGATTCAAGATGTAGGGAGCGGAAAGAGGAGCACCTATTGTTATTTGTGTGGATGCATTTAACAAAAAATAAAAAGAACATTCATTAATGAAAGATCAAGTATTACATATTCAATAATAATAATGTTTTTAGCATCACTTGTAAAACTAAAATAACAATTAGCATCAATTTAAATGCTTAAAAACAAACCTTTCTTCAGCCAAATCACAACAGATGCAGGAGTGCGGCGCAACTTTATGATGTCACATTGACACTCCAAAATAAAAGTCCTGTTCACACACTGCGGCCAAATCACAAAAGTGCATCACCATTTACAGACAAAATACATCCACAAATAGTAAAACATGTGAAATCGATATTTAAACACATTGTTTGATGATGTGCTAACAATAATGTGTGTAACAACTGATATGAGATTATGTTTAAAAGGCACAGCAATCATGTTTACGAAATCAATTTTACTAACTTACTTTTTTATAAACAAGCCAATTCTTTCATTTTTATTTGATGTATTTTGATGTACACTTGTATTACTATGAATGGGAGAAAGTGAAACATGCAATATGGTGAATAAGTCCCACCTTCTAAGTACAAGAGCCAATCGCTGAGTGATAATGCGTTTGGTCTCGTACTGTATCGCGTACCTCGTCAGTGTCGTGCACTTTGCTTGGCCATTTGTTGTGATAAACAGGAAAGTGTGTCCAGCTGAATTCAATTAGAGTTTTGTTAGACGAATATAAAAAGCTAAGTATATCGCGGCAGCCCTTGTGTGAAGACCGAAGAGTGTAAAGACCATTGACTCTACCGTTCGACTCAACCGAGCAGGGACACCGGCAAGGGACATAAGTATCGCTTCTGAATCATTCTCTTTCCTACTTCTTGTTCCCCTTCTGTTTTCAGTTTTTATAACCAAATCTTACTATGTGTTTCCAGATCCCTACTATCACTACCACTCGCAAACCATGCATCACACACTGTAGGCAGCGCAATCCTAACAACCTGCGCACTTTGCCTATGTCTCCTAATACACTACTTTCTTTCTCTATCGGTCTCTGGAATTGCCAGTCTGCTGTAAACAAAGCAGATTTTATTACTTCTATTACAAGTCATTCAAGACTAAACCTCATGGCCCTGACAGAGACGTGGATCAAACCAGAGGACAATGCTACACCTGCAGCACTCTCAAATAATTTCTCTTTTTCCCACTCTCCTCGTCTGACTGGAAGAGGTGTATGTTTATTAAATTGGAAATGTAATCCTTTACTATCTCTGTGTATCAACAGCTCCTTTGAATCACATTCAGCCACTATTACCCACCCTCTTAAAATCAATTTCATAGTTGTTTATCGACCCCCAGGACCACTAGGTAACTTCGTGGAAGAATTAGATGTGCTGCTCTCAACCTTTCCTGAGGATGGTACTCCCCTAATTATGCTTGGAGACTTCAACATCCACCTAGATAAACCTCAGGCTGCAGACTTCCACACTCTGCTTGCCTCTTTTCATCTCTAGTGAGTGTTAAATATGGCTACTCACAAATCAGGCAACCAACTGGACCTTATTTACACACGACACTGCTCCACTGATCATGTGCTGGTTACTCCACTGCACACCTCGGATCACTTCCTCCTCACTCTTAACCTCAACATGGTTCCTGACACAACACACACCCCTACACATGTCACTTTTCGACGTAACCTACACTCTCTCACCCTCCCGGCTATCTGCTATAGTTTCATCTTTGCTTCCTTCCCCTGAACAGTTATCATCTCTTGATGTTAACAGTGCTACTGATACTTTCTGCTCCACTCTTACGTCTTGTTTAGACACTGTCTGCCCCTTGTCTTCCAGGCCAGCTTGTTCCACCTCTTCTGCCCCTTGGCTATCTGATGTTCTCTGCGAACATCGTTCTAAAGTCGCAACATCTAGCTACTGGGGTGCCTCAATGCTCAGTTCTTGGACCACTTCTCTTCTCTGTCTACATCGCATCACTTGGTTCTGTCATTCAGAAACATGGCTTTTCATATCACTGCTATGCTGATGACACTCAACACTATCTCTCATTCCATCCTGATGATCCAACGATAGCTGCTCGCATCTCAGCTTGTCTAACAGACATTTCTTGTTGGATGACGGACCATCACCTTCAACTCAACCTGGCTAAGACAGAACTGCTTGTGGTTTCAACAAACCCATCACTTTATCCTAACTCTCGCATGCTCTTTAAAACATTTTCCTCCCTCCTTTGTCCTCCTCCTCCCCCTCCTTCATCAACTCTTAACAGCTGACAACTTTGCCGCATTCTTCATTAATAAAATTACGGTGAACCACCAGATTCTCCTGTCAACCCTATTTGAAAATGGCATCTCAGGAACCGCACGCTAGTGGTTTGAGTCTTACCTTTCAGATAGGTCCTTCAAGGTATCTTGGAGAGGTGAGGTGTCCAAGTCGCAACATCTAGCTACTGGGGTGCCTCAATGCTCAGTTCTTGGACCACTTCTCTTCTCTGTCTACATCGCATCACTTGGTTCTGTCATTCAGAAACATGGCTTTTCATATCACTGCTATGCTGATGACACTCAACACTATCTCTCATTCCATCCTGATGATCCAACGATAGCTGCTCGCATCTCAGCTTGTCTAACAGACATTTCTTGTTGGATGACGGACCATCACCTTCAACTCAACCTGGCTAAGACAGAACTGCGCCGCAGCATAAATGGCTGCCCACTGCTCCAGGTGTGTTCACTGCTGTGTGTGTGATGGGTTAAATCTTCACTCACACTTAAAATTAACCACAAGCCGGTTGAAAATCGATTTAAATAAGTGAGTTTATATGAATGCATGCCTGAGGGGAACTTACTGTCTTTCGATGGTATTTTTTCTTTTCCTCTTGCCTCTGTATAATGCATACTAAAGTTCATAAGTGCAGCGCTGCTTTGTTTACAGCGGAAACCAAGGAAATGCTTTAAGCGCCACCTGCTGGCAGAGAGTGCATCTGCGTCTAATTCAGCTCGTCTGCTCTTTCTGTTGCATGCAGATATTTTTTATGCATAGTTTCACAAAACTGAAGTCAAACCATTCTGTTTTTGCTTCAAATTTCGAAATTATACAATGTAATTTAGATTAAAAACTGCTCATGTTGCATGTATGCAGCATCTTTGTTTGGATCATGAGTAAAATGCAGTGGTTGCCTCTAATTTTAAATAGAAAGAGCACAAAGTCTTAGTTTGTTTATATGAAGAGATTTATTTGATTTGTGTTATTTATTTGATTTGGGGTTTGTTTTCAAATTTAAATTTAGTTTTGTTATTTACATTTACATTATATTTAAATTTTGTTATTTAGCAAACGCTTTTATCCAAAGTGACTTAACAAATGAGGACAATAGAAGCAATCAAAACCAACAAAAGAGCAATAATATGCAAGTGATATTAGTATATTATTATAGTTATATTTCAATTCCACAAAGAAACGTACAGTATTTTGTCCAAGCAATAATAAATGGACACATTTAATTTATAATTTGTCTTAAAACTAATTTTGTTAAAAAAATAATCATGAATCGAGTTGAGTGAATCGTTACATCCCTAGTATATATATATATATATATATATACACCTTGCTACGTGTACTGCGTTAGGCTAACCGAGACTTGTCATTTGCACTTATGTATTGTTGCTCTTTTGTTAGTTTTGACTGCTTTTATTGTCTTCATTTTTAAGTCGCTTTGGGTAAAAGTGTCTGCTAAATTACTAAATGTAAATGATAAATTCATCGCATCACTGCAGCTGCCGTTAGAAGCTCTGGGGCCAGTTGTTCAAAAGTAATCTGATTGAATTTTGGCCGTCAGATTGGATCAAATCTTGAAAATGGGTTGTTCAAAAGGAATAAAGGATTCTGAATTCTTGGTTTTGATCTGGATTAAATCCTCAGATTGTGTCGTTTAAAATGTTTTAGTAAGATTGTGATACTTTTGATTAAAAAAAAAGCTGGATTATTCTGATCCCAGCAGAAGGGTGGATTTCAGGAACAAAAATGTAATAAAACTTTAAAACTGGTCCAAAAAGTACAACATTTGTAACACGTAATATAATATTTTTGTTTGATATTGACAGCTGTTTGGGGATATATTTAAAGTTTTTTTTAATCACTGATTGTAAACTACAATGGCACAATCATCAGAGATGGACCAGTCGGAAGTAGTTATTTGTGTAAATGCAATGCAAAACTATAATGCAAAACATTGGCTTTTTTTCCATCATCACCATGTCCCTTTAGTAATCCAGATTTGCCACTGCTACTGGAGCATAAGAAACAACATTTATGAGGCAGTTATTGTCGTATTTCATTGATTTCAAATATGAAATTTAATCGTAAGCTTGGCGAAGTTTTGGAGAATTTGATGTTTCCCCATTCAAAGAGATAGGAGCTGTATTTGCATGGCCGAAAGGCATTTCAAAGATGTCCGCCGAGTGAAATGACTTGCCTGAAAAGGACTTATCAAAAACGGATTGTTCAACAGTTTTTAAGTATGTAGGCCATGGACTGGGGGAAGTCACGGCCTAATGGTTAGAGAGTCGGACTCGTAACCCAAAGGTTGTGGGTTCGAGTCTCGTACCGGCAGGGATTGTAGGTGGGGGGAGTGAATGTACAGTGCTCTCTTCCACCTTCAATACCACGACTGAGGTGCCCTTGAGCAAGGCACCGAACCCCCAACTGCTCCCCGGGCGCCACAGCCAAAAAATGGCTGCCCACTGCTCTGGGTGTGTGTTCACTGCTGTGTGTGTTCACTGCTGTGTGTGTGCACTTTGGATGGGATAAATGCAGAGCACTAATTCCGAGTATGGGTCACCATACTTGGCCACATGTCACTTCACTTTACTGATAATGGGGTTGCCGGTACTCACACACTTGGCATGAGATGCGCTTTCAGGCCCCTAGTAAATCATGAGCTCCTGAGCTTGTTGAGCAATTCTATAATCAGACAATTGTAATATGAAGATTTGGTGATTTATGAAGAATTTTTTCACCTTTATGAGGTATCTGTGAGCACAGGAGAGAATCTTGCAAGGGTTGTGCCAGATGTGTTGGGTTAGCTTAAATGCACCTATTACTGGATTAGGAGAGCAGGCATATGATGGTGTGGCAAACATGGCTGCCAAATATTTTGGTGCACAGGCCATCCTTAAAAAGAAACAACTAGAGAAATGTAGCTTGACTTATAATTGCCTCACTCTCCGCTGCAGTGACTGAGGAATTGACGGTCGCGGCCAATCTCTACCAGCGCAGCGTGAACAACTTAACTGAGCAACTGCAAACCAAACTCCAAATTAAACATAGACAGTACAAAAAAAAAACTTGATATAGTAAACATTTTTATAGTAGGCCTTGTGGTTTAATAGTTCTGTTAGTTTACATTGATACGTAGTAGTTTAGTAATTCAGTTAGTTTAAAATTTTGTAGTTCAAGTTCCAACAAGAGAGAGATCAACCGGCGGTTAGCATTATGAATAGCATTATTAGCTTTAGATCATCAGTCAAACCGTTAGCAACTAAGTTGGACAACATACTGTACAATCCACCTTGTCCAGTGGGTGGACTCTTTAGAATCCAACGCTACTGAAGTTGATCAGCACTTCGTGCAACTGGACTCTTTGTGGTCACCACTACAGAGAGATAATGAATGGCTGGAAACTAGAGTTGCTGACCTGGAGCGGCGCAGCAGACGGCAGAGTATCCGATTGGTGGGTCTACCGGACTCTACTGAAGGTTCGCATCCTACCCGGTTTTTCTCCCAGCTCCTGTTCGACGTCCTGGGATCTTAAGTTCTCTCTTCACCTCCTGAATTGGACAGGGCTCACTGGAGCCTCGCAGCCAAACCAGGCCTTAGCCAGGCCAGAAACGGCCACCGGTCATTTTATGTTTCACCGTCGAGGAAAAAGGGTGAACTCTTATACCAAGGTCACAAAATTTGCATCTATGAGGACTACTGCCCTGACATTCTAAAGTTGCAACGCAGAATTTAAAGGTGACACGTCCGAACTCTACAAACGGGGCTTTAAACCTCAGCAGGCAAACATTTGTTTGTATCAGAAGTTTCTCATCTACACGGAGACGTCGGAAAACGTAAAAATTGGCCTTACTCTGCATGTGTAAAACCTCATAAAAGCTCACTGAGATGATACAGACAGAACAGACATACGTTTTCATGCAATTCTACTGGATCTTTTTTTTTTACGGAAATATCTCATCATTCACTGATATTAGTGTGGACAAGGTCTCAGTGCCTCCCAATTTTCACTCTTGACAGTTCAATGTCTCAGTTTATTTGGAAAAGTTCCAAAGATTTATAAAAGCATCCTGCAAAAACCAAAACATCTGGGTGACCTTGGGACTCCCCAACCTTTTATTTTATTATTGGGCAGCAAATATGCGGCCTATGCTCCGTTGGTTTCACACAGATGGGTCTGTGACCGTCCCATCTTGGCTCTGCATTGAAAACTCCTCATTTAAGCTCTCTTCCTTGTCTGCACTCCTCTGTCTCCCGACCACACTTTCAAAATATTACACAAATATGCTAGTGACTAATAGCCTTAAGATCTGGACCAGTTTTCACGTCATTTTGGGATTCAGAACATTCCCTTGTCTTCTCACATATACTCAAATCCTTTATTTTCCCCTTCAACCATAGATGAAGCTTTTGCCTCTTGGAAGAAGTCTCTTTTGCGGAATTATATATTGATATTTTTGCATCTTTCTCAGTTAATTCAGCCTTTTAACTGGAAAAACTCTCATCCCCCATCACACTCTAGGTGGATTAAAGACACCTTATATTTCATTAAATTTGAAACTTTTGGACTTTTGGCGATACCGTCACACTGCCTTCAGGACCTTTGTGAGATGGTGCTGGGGCTACTTGGGAAGAAAAATACATGCTGTCCTCCCATCATGTGTTGTAGAGAAGATAAGATCTACATTCCCATCAGATAGATACCAAGGGTTCAAGCTACCTTCACTAAATCCACAGTAGTGTGCATGTCTTGTTTTACTTGTTGAACTATTTTTGTACACTTGATTTCTTATTTACTACATTTTGAAGAATGTAACTATTTATACTATAGTTACATAAATGTGACTATTTACACAAAAAAATACACATTCTATCAGTTTATCTCAGAAAAACGTGACCAGGGTCTGACTAGAGCTCCCTGCAGGTCGGGCCTGTCAAATGCAGCACACAGGTGGTCTGGAAAGTTCAGTTCATGAATCTGCTGTTGGTATGGGCTGGGATTGAAGACCACCTCCTCACAAAGCAGTCTGAGCAGAGCCTCCACATAGTCTATATAATAAGAAAAATACAATGAACATGGCCATTTTTAAGTAGACATTTTCCACCACAGGGATCATTCACTGTGGGCAATCAAACGACATTTACCATATGCAACATAATGGAACATGCATATTAACTGAATATCATATTTATTTGATGGTAACATTGCCCTTATGTACTTACTGTAGGTTGGCACTGTTTTTATGTAGAAAAGGGAATGTTCCCCTTTCTTGTATTTTGGCCATTTGACTCTGACTGATGGTCCACAGCTCTCTCGTTGCATGCATACTGACGATTGGCATTTTCATTGTAGTGGAGAGCAGCAAGCAGCAACCTACATAGCTAAATTAAAATATGGAAATAAGAACATTTGTTTAGGTAAAGTATGATAAATGATGTATTTTCCAATATAGGACAGTGTGACAGATGCACATATAGAATTATTTATGAACAGAAATGACATTTCAACACTACTAGCAATTCAACACTTTCACAACTAGCAATTATTTTTCACCATTTACATTTTTTTTAAATGTCAAGAGTATTGTAATTAGCAATTTAATTTTACTTGTGACTCAGATTTGTTATGTGACAACCTTATGTTAAAGTGTTATCTTAATCCCTCAATACATAACTGACTTGGCTTAAATTAGCTTTGAAGAAATGGATCGTGCCAAATCATCAACAATAAAATCAGAGTAATCCAGAGTCCCTAATTTTTCATGGTTGTTACCAAACTAGGCTAATCATGTAGCGCTAACAAAATCCTTACTCGGTTTCAGCCAAGCTCGCATCTCGATGGGTGGGTGGGTGGGTGGGTGGGTGCAGACAGGGAATAAGTCGCTGTCATGATGGTGCACATGGTTAGTAACAGACTTCCACTTTTCCACGGCTTCTTCACCAGTTTTGGAGGATGATGCACACCAGTACAGGTGGTTTATGACACTTTTCCTCCAGGCCAGAACCTCTCCACAACTACGCTCTTTCCCTAGTGCATCCAGCTTCTTGGAGAGACCTAAGCAGCAATTACATAAAATAACATGTATCTTACAAGAATTAAACATTGTGCTTATGTAAAATAAATAGTGGTTCAACAGATCACAAATCTCACGGTTCGGATAACATTATGGTTTTTGGCCCACGGATCGGATCGTTTTTCGGATCAGCAAGAAAATAAATATATTTCAATTTAACTTGCTTTCCATTTATTACTTAAAGCGAATCTCAAATCTGCCATAGGTGCCCTGACATCTAACCTGTGTATACAAAGTAAAACTACACTTACTTTTCACCGCCTTCTTGCGTGATATCAAGCTCATAGGTGACATCTGACAATTGCTTTGAGGTACAGGTTGAGCCGTCATTGATTGTGGTGTCTTCCACACGTGGCCTTTTAATTGGTGTTGATGTGAAACATGGAGGTTCGAGACTTGTGCCAACACTCTCAGAACAAGAGATGCCAACAGAGTATCCAAAAGGCTTGAATCATTTCAACACACACATATGACAATCAAACCCATGAAACACAACACGAGAAAACTATTCCCAGCTCATTTTTTTACCTTTACTCCGTCTTTTCAGCTTTTGTGTTATCGTTTGGATCGACACACTCTTGACACACAAAAGATGGTGCATCACACTGACATGCCACATCTCTTGTTAGGGGCTGTAAAACACGAATTGCATCACAGTATGATATGAGTGCAATGCAAAAATATATCATTTGACAGGACTGCCAGCTTTTGAATTAAACTAAGAATTATTCGGAAGTCTTTCTTGCGGTTGAAAGACCGATTGATTGATCGATTATACATTTCAATAAGCTGTACTGTATTCTTCAACATGCCTTCCGATGTTCATTCATTTGCACTTTAGTGTTATAACCAGTAGTAAAGAGTAAGAGATTATCCTTATGATGAATCTCACTACTAAACTAGTGCTGTCGTCGTTGGCGCAGTCACGTGCCAAAAATCATTTAATTTATTGTAAGTTACGCACTATGACAAGAATTTCTGCTGGTAGTCCTGTATCATGTTTAACGTCTGAAAAAGCTTGGTTGCTAGGTAGCTGAACTTACCTTCAAACTTTGTGAGGAGCCAACGGTGTAGACTGATGGGACAGCCGTATCTGTTAATGACAGATATTTGACAAACCCCATTTCGTGTTGTGTCCAATTCTTGATGCATTCGTGTGTGAAGTGCTTCGAACACAACCGCGACCTCTCTGATATCCCTCCTTCCTCGAAATGCAAAACATCGAGCCATTGTGACCGCAACCAGGGTGTTTTGGGGATTGGAAATAGGGTTTCGGGAGAACCACAACCTAAAACGCACCTCCTCGCCATTTCTGTGTGTTTGTTACGCAGTTTTTCCTTCGCGCGCTGTCAAAGCTCACAGTTGGATGGGCGTGGTTAAGGATATTATGCTCATGCCCAAGCCGTCAAACTGACGTCATCAGAGAAGGCCCGTCGTTTTAGAGGGGAGGAGCATTTTCAGATTTGGATTAAAGATTACAAAAGCAAACAATTTTTTTTTGGTGGATTGACTTGCACGGATGAATTGTTCTCCACAAAAATAGCAATGTGCGCTAACAAAATTAATATAGTCAATTTTAATTTCATGTGTACTTTAACCCTTTTCATTCAAACTAATCGATTTCCTTTTACATTGATATTTAGAATTCTGTTTTAAGCCTGATTGTATCATTAAAAAATATATAAATAAATTATAAAAAAAAGAGAATAGGTTTATCAAAATTTTTTATTTAAATTGCTTTTAAGTTCATGTTAGGCTGAAAAACAAACGCATCTGCTGATAGAACGGATCCGCTGTTTGCTTTCAAATGCTCCCGTGTGTATCTGTGTAAGCGCTCGGTGAAGATGTGCATTTACAACACGTTTTTGAAGCGATGATCACTGTAGCCAATCACAGACATATCTGTTGAACGCGTGAACACAATGGCCAATCAGAGATGTTTCAGAATCTACTCAACAGCGCTCAAAATGCTAGCGCAAACTAGTGCTGGCATCGTCACATTTTGAAGATTTCAGTACAGACTTGGTACCGATGTTGGTACTTTTGACAACCTTATTATATTGACAACAGGAGGTTGTTTGAAAAGTCAAGTCAAGACAGTCAAGTCGCCTTTATTTCTATAGAGCTGGAAATAAAAGAAAATTGCAGAATCAATTATGGAAACTCTGGAAACAATTCAGATTCTGTAGTAAAGTCGCTCTAAAAGACAGTAGTGTCATTATTTAGTTCAAGTCCGTTCGGGTCAATAACAGTGTAATGTTCATCAATTTAAAACAAGGCCAATTCAG